CCCTGTCTAGACAGGATGAAAACCACTCAGTAGAGATTCTACCTTATCTCGCACCCTCTGAAACTAAGCTCCCTCTTTAAAACTTGTAAGCCAGTCACTTTTTGCATTTGTAGGTCCTCCCTACCCCCCATTTTGGGTAGCCAGTGTCTAAGTTGCCTATCCCTGTCAACCAACCCTGTACAGAGGGAGTGGGAATGATCCTTGCTGTAAAGACTCATCTCCTCTTTTAAGCTACTACATCCATAAGTATACATCAAATTCATCAAATTGTAGCAGATTACACGTTTTTCCTCTTCTTTCTTCTTCTAATTGAGTTCTGATCATCCAGCCATTGAAGCTAGGTCAAATGGGTACTATCTGCAAGTATGGGTGTTCTTGCGCATCTTCTCTCACTTAATATCAGTTGGACACTTAACTCTCTGCTCTAGTTCTTTGTGGTTAGGTCCCTGTCAGTGGGCTCAGGAGTCCCCAGGTCTCGCCAGGTCTCGCCATACTGTTGGCCAACCAGGTCTCACTTCAGGTTGTTGACAGGTGTATATTGAACGTGATCGAACTCAGCCCACAGCTTTATTGCTGTTTTTCCCCCACTTCCCCTAATTGGTAGACCAATGTGGTCACCAGCAAGATTACATGCCTGCTCGTGTAGTCCCTTGGAGTTTCAGTCTTGGAAGGGGGTTTGCCCAGGAGGAACTTGATTGCTTGCCTTGATGGCTCCCCAGTGAACAACTTGCTTGTTCTTTTAGTAGTCAATCAGACTGCCGTTTTTGTTTTTGATTTTTTTCCTGCTGATCTTTCTTTCAAGAAGTATCTTCTGTTCCTCTAGCTGCTCCAGGCTGGTCTGCTTGCCAGACTGCCTTTTTTTTTTAATGTTTTATTGTAAATTATATGATAGTTTACATGAGAGAACCTCAGTTCCATATTCATTCCATCGTATATCATTACATTGCCATGGTTCCAATCCCCTCCATGCATCGTCTTCTGACCAAAGGGCATATCATAGAAGCCCGTGCTCTACACTCCCCCCGACCTCAGTCTTCAGCCCACAGTTCCTCTCCCTCTGGATCCAGAGTCCCCAGCTGCTTCATCCCTCCATTTCATCATCTCTGTCTCCATCTCAGGCATCCCCGGTTCTCAGGGTGGGGTCCCGTTCTTGGCTCTTATCTGTTGGTGATCCCAGAGACCTCTGCTCCTACACTGGAGAAATAATCGCTCTCTTCCTTGCTACAAAATATCTACCCTTGCATTTCCAACACTCACAATCTGTCTTGATAACCATTATTCACTATAGTATCGCGCGTTACCCATCTGTATTTCATTTCATCAGCTCCACCTAGACAAATTGGATAGTACTCACTGGTGATTCTGCCTTCCTCCATGCCCCCTAGCTGTAGGTTCCCTCTTGAAAGCTTGTAAGCCAGTTACTTCTTGCCTTTGTAGTCCCTCCCTCCCCATTTGGGTATCCAATGTCCAAGTTGCCCATCTCTACTCTGTGTGTGGAGGGGGTGGGAATGTTTCTTGTTGTAAGGATTTGATGCCTCTTTTGTGTCACTGCATTCGTAGGTATAAGTCAAGTTCATCTTTCTTCTCCTGGTTGAGCTCTGATCATCCAGTCATCCAGTCCCAGACACGTGGGTGTCATCTGCAAGTGTGGGTGTTCTTGTGCTTGCCAGACTACCTTTGATAACATGACTCATCAATTTACAGATTAAGAAGCCTATTGCCCAACAGTTATTAGTTCGGGGAACTGTGGCTACCCTTGGTTTCCCCCATAACTGAAGGGGAGAGAATTGAGAGTACTATACTTTGTGGGCTAAATGCCAGGCACTATGTTGTAGCGTAGTGGTTACGAATCGGGCTGCGAACCGTAAGGTCAGCGGTTCGAAACTACCAGCCGCTCCGCGGGAGAAAGATGAGGCTTTCTACTCCCGTAAAGATTTGCACCCTCGGAAACCCTGTACAGGGTCGCTATGGGTCGGAACCGACTCGATGGCACTTAACAACAACAACAACAATGTTAAATGCTGGGAAATAGATGAAAAAGCGTGGTCTTGACCTTTTAGGAGCTCATTGTTCATGAAAGGAAATGGATACAAAATCACTCTTCTCTTTGGGAAGTAGGAAAAGACCTAACAGGGTAGTTTAGTGTTAAATTCAATGTATTTAATAAACGAGAGCATATTAGAAAGGAAATAGGAAGGATATTTGAAAGAAAGAATATGACATATGCATAGGCACAAGGGAATGTGATAGATAATGTTTAGGAAATGTCAGATGTAAATTGGGAAATTTAATGATAGATGTAACCAGAAAGATAAGTTGGGACCAGATCATAAAGAGCCTTGTAGGATATGCTGAGAAATTTGCACTTAATCCTGTAGGCAAGGAGGAGCCAATGAAGGTTTTTTAAAGTAGAATTACATAGAAAGGTTTCTGTTTGAGAAAACCAACTCCTTGTGGAGGATGGATTGGAAAATAAAAATACAAGGCAGGCAGATCTTAAGTTTCTGTAATCGTCCAGCAAAAGATGAAGACTTGCCTTCAGTGAGAAAGGGAAGGAAAAGATACATTCAAGGAATGCTCAGTAGATAGAATGAATAGGTTCCAAATCCAGTAAGGATTTGTAGAGTAAGGACTAGACTACAAACCACAAGGTTGTGGTTCAAACCCACCAGCTACTCTCCTGAAACCCTGTACAGGGTTTCTGTGAGTCAAAATTGGCTGGACAGTACTTAACCAACAACAAGAATACATACAAAAAGGAGTTCTGGAGGCATATTGGATTATGGTTGGGCTGCTAACTATAAGATCAGCAGTTCAAATCCGCTAGTTGTTGTGTGGAAGAAAGAAGGCTTTCTGTTTCCATAAAGATTTACAGCTTTGGAAACCTTATTTAGGATCGTTATGAGTCGGAATCGATTTGAGGGTAGTGGGCTTGAATTTTTGTTTTTTAAAATACATACAAACAAGTAAGCTTCAGAAATGCAGACGTTTTTGTCTGCTTTGTTCACTAAGATTTCCAAGTACCTTATACATGAGGTCAGTATATAAATTAATGAATTAATAAACATACAAATGAACGTATGATGAATATGTAAGTGAAACTAACCTTTCTCTCTGCCCCTGTAACTACCATTAAAAGAACTTGATTCCAAGAAACTTGACGCGGTTCACTTTAGATTTAGAATGCACGTTCCCTGAGTGTAGGGACTATCTATTTTCTTACTACTGTGTCCTTAGCATCTAGCAGGGCACACTTGTTTCCAATGAGTCAGTTCCAACGTACAGTAGTCCTCCCCAGATTTTCATTTCTCCGTTAAGTTAAAATCTGTCCTCTAGTCACAAGCCTGAAAGGAATCCTGTGCTATTTTGTTATTGTTAGCTGCAGTGGGATAAACAGGCCCCTAACAACAACAACAACAACAGCAACAACTCCTGGTGACCCCATGCATAGTGGAACAAAAGCTGCCAGGTCCCCAGTCATCCTCATGTTCGCTTGTGGATCAGACCATTTGAGATCCATGTTTTCATTGGCTAATTTTCAGAAGTAGATAGCCAGCCTTTTCTTCCTGGTCTGCCTTAGTGTGGACATGCCTCTGAAACATGCTCACATTCATTGTTGTGTGCTGTTAAGTGCCGTTGAATTGTTTCTGACTCATGGTGACCTTGTTTCCGAGGCGTTGCTGGTGGGTTTGAACTGCCGATTTTGCAGTCAGCAGTCCAGTGCTTATCCTACAGCGCCACCCCAAGACTCCCTTTAGAATTTGGCATAGTTGTTACTAATGTGCCATTGAGTTGGTTCTGACTCATAATGACCCTGTATGGGGTTCCCAAGGAGCAGCTGGTGAGTTTGAACAGCCGACCTTGTGGTTCAAACCTACCTAGAGGTCCAGTGATTATCCTACGGTGCCATCCCTGGAATCCGTAGTTGTTGTTAAGTACCATGGAGTCGGGTCCAACTCATAGTGACCCTGTACAGGGTTCCCAAGGCTATACATGTTTACGGGAACAGAACACCTCATCTGTATCCCGCAGAACCGCTGGTAGTTTCTAACTGCTGACTTTGAGGTTAGCAGCCTGATTCGTAACCACTACACTAGCAGAGCTCCTTTCCATAGTTGTTAGTGCCATCCATAGTAGGAACCCCCTGCTTCAGTTTTGTAGATTTATCAGTAGGTGGCGCTAAGAATCCACTTTCCTCCCTACAAAGAAGATTTACCTGGTTAACTCTTCCCACCCCATCCCTACCTTACGTAATTGTAAAATAGCACATAATGAAAGTATTGGTGCTTCAGTGGTAGGACTTTGCCTTCCAGGCTTGAGACTTGGGTTCAATTCCCAGCCAATGCACCTCATTCGCAGTCAGCATCACCCATCTGTCCGGTGGAGGTTTGCATGTTGCCATGATGGTGAGCAGGTATCAGAGGCACTTCCACCCTTAAGCAGGCAAGGAATAAAGGCCTGGTTATCTACTTTCAAAAATCAGCCAGTGAAAACATGGATCTCAATGGACTGACCCACAAGCCAGCGTGAGGATGATGCAGGACCTGTCAGCTTTCCATTGTACATAGGGTCATCAGGAGTTGGGGGCCTGTTTACTCCACTGCAGCTAATAATGACAACAAATAGCGCTTTATTCCTTTCAGACTAGTGATTGGAGGGCACATTTTAACTTAATGGAAAAAATTTGGGAAGAACTGCTTATTTAAATGAATATTCAAAGTAAGAATAACCATAACTCTCATGTTGTTGTTGTTATTAAGTGCTTTCAAGCCCGTTCAGACTCATTACAATCCTGTTTACAAGGAGTGACTGGTGAGTTTGAATCTCCAACCTTGTGATTCAAATGACATTGCTGTCCAGTGCTTATCCTATAGCGGCCCTACCAGGATTCCACTTCTCATAATACCCTCAAAAAAATAATGGACTGGACTTGATTCATATTTGCTATGTGAAAGACCACACCTGATATATCTAATTCGTGTCTGTTGATTTGCACATTTGTATACTGATACATGCAGCAGTGTCTCAAAAATATGTATATGTGATAATGAGTCCTGGTGTGGTGCTGTGGGTTAATGTTATTGTGGTTGTTGTTAAAGTACCATGGAGTTGGTTCCGACTCATAGTGACCCTGCACAGGGTTTCCGAGGCTGTAAATCTTTACAGGAGTAGAAAGCCTCATCTTTCTCCCGCAGAACAGCTGGTAGTTTTAAACTGCGACCTTGAGGTTAGCACCCCGATTCGTAACCACTATGCTACCAGAGCTCCTTGTGGGTTAATATGCTGGACTGAAAAGTCTGTTTGAACTGCAAGGTCGGCAGTTCACATTCACCATTTGCTCCTTGAGAACCCTATACAGGTTGCTATGGGCCAGAACTGAGTTGACGGCACTTAACAGCAACAATATATATATAATGTTTCAGATTCTCCCTATTAAAATTTGTACTCAGTAAAATAAATAGATGTTTCTAGTATAGACTCTGATACAGCAGGAACAGATGTGATGTAGACCAGTGAAGCCAAGGGCTTAGCTTTTTAATATTCGTAACTACTTAAATATTTGTTGTCCCTGAGTAGTGTAGACACTTAATGTACTTGGCTGCTAACTTAAAGGTTGGTAGTTCAGGTCTACTTGGGCACCACAGAAGAAAGACCTGGCAGTCTGCTTCAGAAAAATCATCCATTGAAAACCTTCTGGAGAACAGTTCTATTCTGTTACACATAGGGTTGCCATGAGTCAATGACAACTGGCCAGATATTTATTACTCCTTAAAATGATTTTCAAAATAAGGTTGGTGGATCACTATATTTGTTTCATCTGGAGGATGATTTCTGGATCCCATCCCAGACCTACTGAATCAAAATTTCTGCACTTGCACTTCTAACAAGCTCCACATGTAATTAATTATTAGTTCTGCTAAAGTTAGAATCACTGTCTTAAAACATAGTAAAATATCTGATAAAATAAATTTCCCTATATCAAGGAGACTCTGCCAATTACTATGTCTTTTTGTTTTCCCACCATCTATCCAGTTAAGTTCTGTTCTAGAACGAGATATTCACCAGACATTGTTACTGCCACACTTTGGGTCATCCCATAATACATTCAACATTTGTTAGCATCTCTGGCATTAAATGTCTTTAACAGTCTAATTCTTACATAGTTTATCATCGTTTTTTCTTTATACTTTACCCTGCAGCCATTTAGAACTTTATGAGCTCTTGAAAATGCCATTTCTGCTGCTTAAAATGCTTTTCCCTACCATTTTCTTCCTTATCATTCCTTATCCAGTGAATTTACACTTAGATTTCAAGACCCAGCTCAACTGTCATTTCTTCTGTAAGGTTTAAATTCCCCAGGCAGAGTTTATGTTCTATTGTGCTTTATTCTTCTAGTGTCTTGTTCATACCTCTGTTGCATTTTTCAAGTTAATTTGCACTTACCTGTTTCTTTCAGTGTTCTCTGAGCCTCTTAGAAGGCAAATGATCAGGTTGTTTTCATCTTTGTGTTTCTCTGATGTAGGCCTAGTGTGCCGTAGGTACTCAATAATTGATTTTCAGTGAGTAAATGAATGAGTTACTAAAGGATCCATGAACTTGCCATATGTGTTTTTCTTAATTATTTTGTGTTGACATTGTATTTTCCCCCCCGAAATAGATTCTGACATCAAAGCACTTGAAGATCAGTTTGATGAAATCATAGTCGATATAGCCATGAAACGTAAGCAGTATCCCAGAAAGATCCTTGAATGTGTCATCAAAACCATAAAGGCAAAACAAGACATTCTGGTAAGATGACTTATATTTATAAAGTATGAGAATAGAAGACTGATTGGCTCTGTAAATTTTCACCCAAACCATTATAAAATGCCTCCCCCATAAAAAAAAATTGAAGTATTAGGTCCATGTGGCGATAAGTGATTTTTTTTGTTTTGTTTTTTTGTTTATGTCTTTCTTGCCTCAGTAACTACTGTTTGTCTCTTGTAAGACTTTCTAGGGTCGGAACCTACTTATCAGCACTTACCAACAACAAGAAGGCATGCTAGGTTTTGAACACAGTGATACTAAGATAGAAATTAAAGATAAAAGAGTCTAAATGCCTTTATAATTTCCTGAGACCAGGAAAGGAAAATAAATTTAGTTTTTGATCCTTTTCTATTTGTCATTTATGCTTAGTACATTATTTTTGGAAAACGCTCTGGTTAAGTTGATGTTGAAGATTATTTACATACCTATTTATAACACTGAAGTTTGCTGTATAAATGAAATTGTGTGCGATTTGTTTTGCTTCAGAAGTCATGACCCTCATGGTAACAGGAACAGGAAGAATCAGTCAGTGCCTTCAGCCTGAACTTTCAGATAAACGAAGCAACAGGCTTCCTTCTTCTTTATAATGAATGTAGATGTCTGGGACCATCCGTACTATGTCCCAGCCTTTCAGAATCGTTGTTGTTGTTGTCAAGTGCTATTGAGTCAGTTCCAACCCATAGTGACCCTGTATAAGGTTTCCAAGGAGCAGCTGGTGAGCTTGAACTGCCAACCTTGTCGTTCAAACTGACCTTGCGGTCCAGTGCATTATCCTGCATCACCACACCAGAACTGAAATAATCAGTCTTGAAATAAGAAATGAACAAACTTGTCCACAAACAAATTGGGTCAGGATGACATTGTCCTCAAGTAGCAAACATACAGCTTTTCAATTATACTATACTGTTTGTCCTTGTTTTCTGAAATTAGTACAGTTTCTCATACTGGTAAATCTTCTAGTTGTTTCCTTTCAGGAATTGTGTTAGAGCAGTAAAGACCAAGCTTTAGTTAAAACATTTTAGTCACCATTTTATGTGGGGGGAAAAAATTCATAATCAGAATTTTTGGTTTTTTTCTTTGATAGGTTAGTGTTTAAAGAAATATCCATTCTTCTTTTTTTGTAGTTACGCCAGAAAGGATGTTCAAAATGTATTTATTTTCTAGTGCTTCCCATATTCCTTGCCATCACCTACTCCTCCCCTCTGCCCCCAAGAAAAAGTGCTGTTAACAGTATTGTATAAAAGGATGAAAGCTGACTAGCCTAGGTGAGGTCCTACTGTGATTGAAGCTTAAAAAGTGATGCAAAATGAATTGGAGTAAAGATATTAAAGAGAGATTTATCCTTTTTTTTTCTCCTTTTGGCTCCTGTTGGCTTTGGGCAAGAGTAAGGAGGAACTCTTTGCTCTTTCCTGTAGTTCTGGTGTATCATGGGATATGTAGGCTTTAGTATGCTGATATGGTAGTCTAACCGCTGTTCTGGGCAATTTGATCTTTGAGTTCTAAATACTTGTCTTAACTTTTGAAACAGTCTGTGCTTAAAACACAAAATTCTGTCTTTGTGCTTTTAATTTGCTGGTTCCCCCCCCCCCCCCCCACATTTTATATATATTTTGTAGTGCCATCGAGTGGCACTATCAACTGATAGTGACCCTGTGTAGAGTATCTGAGGAGCAGCTGGTGGGTGGTTGAGTGCTTATCCTACAGTGCCACACCAGGACTCATTTACTCTCCCCTCTCCCCTCTCCATATATATATATAGCGACCCTCGATAGGGTTTCCTAGGAGCAGCTGGTGAGCTTGAACTGCCAACCTTGCAGTTCAAATGGCTTTGCAGTTTGGCGCATTAACACACAGCACCACACCAGGACTCTCTTTAGATAGATGCAAGTCAAAACAACAATGAGTTATCATCTTACCCCAGCATGAGTAACAAAATTCAGACTTCGGGCAAGATGGTGG